AATCTCCTATTTAAGGAGACCCCATTATTGAATGAGATATCAAATTATTCAGTCAAGAGTGAGTTAGGAGAGTTGGTGATCTCTTGGACAAATCACTGAAGGCGCCAAGATAGGTTCATCACGAGYAGGAAGGAACAAGGGAAAACAGGAGGTTTTCCCCGTGGACCGACCCGTGACGAGATCCTATTCCCGGGCCCTCAACAGAGAGGTTTCCACAACAGCCTAGTACATCTATGATATTTTCAATACTCTAAGGAACTCTCATTCTTGGCACACAATTTCTCAATGGGAAGAGACTGATCTTCAAAGGTTCTGTCATTTCTCTCTCCAAATACACCAACAGATCACTAGAGGAATCATATTCCACAGTATTTTACCCCTCTTGCTGAAAGCTTGGGATCTCCAGGAAGAGATTAATGGTTCAATATCAGGAGCTACAGCCCAATATACACCAAAAAGCTGCAAAGCATGATACTAATCAGGTTAATGATGCACATAACCTGCAAACGTGCAAAGCAGTGTTTTCTTCAGCCTGTCATACATGTGGACGCATGTGTTGAAAATCTTCATTTTGTTTGTGATTGATGATTGTTGTTGGTAGTGATAAACGAAGAAGGTTATTCTTCTCTATTAAATACCAAGAAATCTTTGTAAAACACTGCTTTGCACGTGGCGGTTCAGTCAAAATGGAACTGAGTTGTCAGTTTATTTTCTCACACCAACTGAAACCGATCGGTGGTTTTGAAAAACCGACCAACTTGGTTTGGGGTGGGCTGGTTTGGTCAGTTTGACATTTAATGTGAATACCTCTAATCTGGGTCTTGGGAGGGGTGGGTTTTTCTGAAACTTTCAACCTTCGTTTTCACACTTGTTCCAGATAGAAATCCATATTAAAGAGATTATAGGGGAATGCACATGCAATAAGATTTAGAAGACCTAGTGACATTCAATTCTTTTCTCACGTTACCTTGGACTTCTGCTTTTTAGTTGTTAATGGACTTCCGTTGAATTGATGAAACATCTCCATACAGCAGAGTGGAATAGCAGGGGCAAGATTAAGGAAGTTGATTAGATATTAATGATTGAGGCTTGTATCGTCTGGACTTCTCAATAGTACTTGCTTAAACTTATGTTTATATAAACCAAATATACTATTTTATAGGTTAATTCAAGTGGTTTTAGCCTTTTAGGTTTAATGGTTTGAGCATAATGAGTTGGATTAAGAGAAGGTGACTCAATGCTGGCCATAGGCTGGCTTCCAAAAGAAGAGAAAGGAATTTGGGAGTTTGCCAATGTAAAAAAGAAGTTTAAGTGGTTGACCCAGGACTTGGAGTTCAGTGGGTTAAAGAGAAGAAGTGCAAACTCTTTTGTTGATGTGGGTGGGAAGGAACAGTCATTTTTGGGCCATGTATTTTTCTTTTTGTTCTCGGGGAGGGTTAAGTTCATCCCTCCCCTTGCTTCCTTGTAACTATTTTTTAATTTTTTTATTTATTTCTTTTGAAGGGCTACACAACAGGGGTAGCCCATCCCCCAACCCAGGTGCAGGTGAGATTCGACCCCAAGTCTTCTACGACCAGCAGGAGACCTTACCAACCAGCTGGTTGGCACCTTGCTTAACTATTTCTTAAGTTTTTTTTAATAAAAGTTTTATTATCAACAACAAAATGTGTTGGATATCAGCCATTTTGACCAAAGTTTTGTAAATTCAAACCGGATATCCAATTTACTGATTGATCTTTTTCCTTGTCATTGACTGCTGAGCTCTGTGGCTGGGGTTAACCCTCAGATTATTGTCTCAGAAGACAGAAAATCATTCTGAATGAGTCTCAATGAAAAGGGCCCATAAGCAAAAGGCTATATTACCTTGATTAGGTTATGATGTTGATAAATTTTTGCTATGGACTTGACCATTCTTCCCTTTTGTTTTTTGTTTTTCTTTTTAAGAAATCACAGTGAATCAGCATCAGCACTCGGCAGGACCAATGGAAAGCGAAAAAACTACAACAATGAATCGCCAACTCGGCCGATTCATGTCCCCAGCTTTTAAAACATTTCTTAGTGGCAGAAGGCGTTTGACGACTACACGGCCAACTGATTGAAGTAGAATAGGAGAATGGAAAGACTGAAAGGGATCCTTGGGGGGCCTAAGGGACCGAGTCCTGTTTTTGGGGCCCGCATAATTGAACAGGGGATATGGTTCTCACAGGGCAAGGTTCAAAACATCGATATGCCTGATACGCTGGTAGGGGCGTATTGGGCGAATGATACCATTTTTTTTTATTTTTTTTCTGAAACCGGTTCAGGGGGGCCGGTTTAGGGTTCGTCCACCCCCTGAACCGGTCAGACCCCCGATACATCCACTATAGGGGTGTATCGGAAGGGTCCTGGAACAATACGTATTAGCTGATACGGTCCGATACTTTGAACCTTGTCACAGGGTACTTACAGCCACCTGCAGTTGTGCATTAGGAATATCTATCTTCCATGAATAAGAATATATTCCTAATACACGGTTGTAAGTGGCTTTGAGGATGGTGTGAGCACTGTTTCGTGAAGACTGACCTCGAGGTTGTTGGAATAAGGAATTGATAATGATGATGAGTGCTGCCACTGAATGTCACAGTCCATCGCCCAATCGGACGGCGATCCTGTATTCCAGATTTATAAAACATGGGTAGAAAATATTTGGAGTCCACATCGGTTATGTTGGCCCAAGACCACTTGGTAAGCTGACTCACTGACTGTCATGGAGTCGCAAAAAGGGGCTTGGGCAACGGTGTGGGCAAGGCATCATTTGTTGGGACTTGGGACAACTGGTATTTGAGGGGGGATGCCATGGCCGGGTCCTTGACATTCTGCTTTCCAACCAAAATTTCCAATCCCACTTTTCCTTGTTTTCTCAGTTCCAACTTCCAAAGTGATTACTTTTGCCTTCGGCTTCCGTGATGATTATAAGTCAATAAATGATCGATCATTCTATAAACAATCAAATCTCTCTTGCATTTATAAATTAGAAGGCTAGAAGCATATCGGCAGATTTTGGTGTGTATTATTGCCTGAAAGTCTGAATCTCAAACAAAAACCATCTTGGGAATTGGAACCACTTTTTTTTTAAACCATTTCAAACAAGGTTGCTTCAGCATTTCAAACTCTGAGGAAGCACCGGATACAAAAATAAGTGCATTTATTAGAAATAAACTAATAGTGTAGCAGTAATGTTCTTACCAAAAAAACTAATAATGTATAGCAATGTATTATTATAAAGGATTAAAATATTTAATGATATCTGTACCCAAATATGCTTGTATATCTGTCTGTATATTCAAATAAATACAAAGTATAAGGCTTTGTACTATATATATTTGTATTCGCACTCTTTTCAAGTTAAGCCTACAAGTCAAGGGATCATTGGAGAAAAGATTTTGGGTCTTGAATTCTACAAAAATAGCACTTTCTTTTAATTTTCATGGTTTTGGTCTTGAATTCCCAATCAAGCCAATGACCCAAACCCAATAGCTAAGATGGTCATTTACGCTGTCTTTGGTTTGAAGGAAAAAGTAGGGAAAGGATGGGAAAAGGCAGGGAAACCTTTACAAAGTTTACAAAGGTTTGTAAAGGTTTCTCTACCTTTTTCTTCCTTTCCCTACCTTTTCCTTCAAGCCAAACATAGCTTTAGTGTACCTCGTAATATGGAGGTCCAAGATCAAATCCACATGTATGCAGGCTTTCCATAGTAAGGTCAATGGACTTTACGTGTATTTGTTCCACTTGGGATCTGGATCTGCTGCTCGCACCATTTTATAACTGTATATTGTTTTATATAGCCAATCACAAGTGAACATGCCAGTGCGTCATATACATGCTCGCAATACTTGGGATCAGATTCTGATGATGTATATATATATATAATATAATTCAGTATGTATGTTTACATGAACTTATTATATATAAAAGTTGAAAAGTAAATAAATTTTTAATTTTTTATATTTTAAAAAATTAAAGCAGAATCAGATTAAATCTGAATCTGATATGAGTCCTTAAGGATTCAAATTCGGATGCAATCTTCCCATAATCGAAATGGAGTTGGATTTTGTTGAATCCAATCCAAATCGGATCCGATTACAGCCTTAATTGTATGGAACATTGGCATGTTCACTTAGGCTTAGTTTGGAAAGAGTATAAATACAAATATGTATAGTGTAAATATATACAAAATAATAAAAATTACAAGGTTTTGCACTCTACATATTTGTATTTGTACTCCTTCCAAACTGAGCATTATGATTAGTTATGTAGCAAGTGGATATACAGTGGTGCAAGAAGGAGATTTGAGATGGCTCTCCTCCACTCCTTGAATCCCACTATAACTAGCATGGTTTTTGAACTGCCGTTGACTTGGATGGTTGGACCATTTGTCCTTGGAATCATCTAAGCAATTAGTTATGTTTTACCCCAAACTCGGTCCTTGGCTAAAAACAGTTGAATTAATCAATAACCCATTGATCCAAACAGTCAAACTATTGACCCGTTTGACTTGCTCAACAATTTTGGCCATTTTATTTTAATTATTTTTTAATTTTTTATTTTTTGTTAGAACAGGCCGTCCATCCGAATCGACTGGACAATCAAACTATCAACCCAAAGTGGCCAAAACGGTTTTGATTCTAGGTCAGTTTTTTAAAACATTGGTAATTAGAAAGCAAGCCCATGTAGATGAATGGGGTTGAATAGAAATTTGTTTAAGTTTAGGTCAAGGTTCAAAGTATCGGGAACACCAAGTGTATCGAAAAGGCAATTTTAAGAGATATATCAGGATATGCATGTGTATTAGAGAAAAATTAAGATCAATGATTTAAATATCGATACGATACGGTCGTATCAATATCAGTCATGAGGGATACATGAAACACTACGATTAAACTCGTATTCCTTTAATTGTCGATACTAGAGTGATATGCATCCGTATCGCATTGTATCGGTCGATACACGCCGATACAGTGTGATACACACGTGATTCGTCCGATAACCATGTGATTTGCGTTTCACACTTTCACATGTTTAATTTAAAAAAGTGCAACTGGCGTGATTTGAACCCAAATCACCAGCACATAAGACTTATACACGTCGGTAAGCCACTCACACAACAATTATCTTATGATAATAAGTTAAATAAAATAAACTTTTATCTATTTTAATCCCCACATATAGTCTTAAGAAATAAAAATATTGTTTACAAAATATTTATTTTAGTACTTAAAATTTATAAATTCGAACATGATATGTACCTTAAAATGTTTATAAATTATTAATCAATATTTTAATTTGCATTAAATAAAAATATTATTTACAAAATACTTGAGAATATAATGTAAATTGAATTTGTCAAATCAACTAATCTACTTTTATATCAAAAATGATTTTTTATTTCATATAATTATAAAAATAAAAATATTAATAATGAAATAATAATTATAAATTATAAAATTGTATATGATATGAATTTTAGAAATTTTAGTATACTTGAGATATTTTAAGCTAAGGTTATATATTTTTATAAATTATTAATTGATATTTTAACTACATTTTATAATAACATTTATTGTTTACAAAAACAAAAATAGTTTACCAAACATTTGAGAATTAATTTTTAGTTGATTTTTTTCTTAATGTTAAAAACAAAAAATAAAAAATAATTGATATAATAATTACATATAATAGTTGCATGTGTTTTGTGACATGAATTTCATAGAAAATAAATAATAGCTTTGTGCATGTATTAATTTGTAATAATTTATATAATATGTCCTAAGACTCTGGATTGATACATTATTAATAAAACTGTATGATTTCTATCCATCCCGCTATATTAATTGTAATATATTTATTTAGAAATACCATTAGAATATACATTTCTTATGTAGTTTTACATTAATTTTGACTATTTTAACCTAAAATGTAATGTTATTAATATATTTATGGAATTTATATGCATTTCCCAACATATCCAAGCGTTTCCATGTTTTTTCATCCATATCTATGTGTGTCCAAAGTGTACCCGTATCCATATCCAAGTGGTCCGATACGATACCCAATACCAAGACTTTAATCCTTGATTAACATACGCATAAATATGCATGAAAACACTATAAATACATCAATAACACTAAGTATAAGGCCTCAATGATGTATACATACATTAAATTATTATACTTTAATGGTTTTATGAAGAAATACATCATAGTGAATTATAATTTCATTAAAAAACACTATGATTAACTATAATTTATAAATTATAATTCTTAAGTTTTAAGGGATGGAAAAATATAACCATCCTATCCAACCATAAAACATGCATTTGCACAATTTCTAAGTGCAAATATAATTAATAATTATTTTTTATTTTTTGTTTTTAAAAGTTATAAAAATAAAAAATAATTAAACATTATATAATATCAAAAAATAATTATTAAAGAATAAATTTTAGTTGTCGTTTGTATATGATAGATAATCCATAGATCTAAAACATAATAAGTCTTTCTAGGCAGGTGAGAAAATATGTTTTCAATCTTTTTTGTTATTTTATATTTTTTCCAAATCTCCTCATAAAATTTCCATAAATCTACTCATAACACATAAAAAAAGTGATTTTGAACATATTTAATGTAGATCAACATAGACTTAAATATTTTCCAACATTCAAGGAAAAATTCATAAAATATTATGAAAAATTGAAAATTTTGCATATTTTTGTAATATTTTTCAAAAATTGAAAATAATTCAAAAACATTGATGATTCACACATTTTTTTTGTGTTTTTTGCATATCTAGAACTTTATGAATGAGATTTGGAGTTCTAAAGTCATTTGGGGGTGAAAGAAGGTTTGTTTCAAGGGAAAGAAGCTTTTTTTCCTTTTTTTTTGTTATTTTCCCTATATTTTTCGTAGCATATCAGTCAATATGTCTGATACACCTCCGTACGGCCTAATATGGTGGAAAAAAAAAAGATGATACCATCAATTTTCTACCGTATCTTGTATCGGAATTTGAAAGATATGATATGATATGCCCCGTATTAGGCGTATCATATCGAAATTTGAAACCTTGGTAGGGTTGGCAAATTTTGACATTACTTTGATTCTAATCCAAGGTCCATGTTTAGGGTTGGTCTTGGGTTGGCCCTTGACCTGGCCCAGCCATCTAAATTCTACCCATGTTTTAATAGAGAGGGTCAAAAGGGGTTCAAAG